AGGGCGTCTTTCGGGACGGCCGATCCCTGCCGCGCCGGCAGCTTCACTCACGGCTTCGCTCGCTGCCAGCAGCCCTAGAGGCCCCGCTTCAAGCAGGCCCATCTCAGCACGGAGCGAAGGATCTTCCTCTTCCGAAGCTTCCTTGGCCTTGCCCAGTGCTCGCCGGGAAAGCCCGGCCAGCACAGCCAGCACTCCAGCCCTCCCGTAAGGGCAGCGGCTCCATGGTGGTGGGCAGGCTCTTCCCAAGCGCTCCAGCACCTTCCACCAGTCCGGCTAGGAAAGGATCAAACCAAGCGACGCTCTGGACATCTGTCGGAAGGGCCCGGAAGCAGCTTTGCCCCTTCTCAGCCCTTTCCAGGGCGCCCCTGGCTAAGCTGCTGGCCCCTCGTCAGCTCCGACGCGCCGGGCCCTGGGCGATCCCGCACGCTGGGAGCTGCCCTCGCTCAGCACAGAGGAGCCGCTGACCCTGCCTGATGCCTCCTCCGCTGGGCAGCCCCGCACGACGGGCAAGGCCATTGTATCTGCACAGGAGTTATAAAGGCCAAAGCTCCACGATTCGCCGGGGACCAGCTCAGCAGCAAGGGATGGCCACGAGAAGGGGCTACTGATCTCTGGAAGGGCCCGATGGCCACCAGGCTCTGCCGGCCTCTCTTCATTGGGCCGGCTGTGCAGCACGCCTCATTCCTGAAATTGGGAATGCTGAAGTGCTCCCTCCCTGGGGGGACGGGGAGGGGCTCTGCAGCTCGGGGAGCTGGGAGCAAGTCACCTGCACTGAGCCTGACGGAGCATCCCGTGTCCTTCAGAGCAACAGGCTCCACTGCTGAACAGCAGGTCCCCAGTGGGGCTCCAAGAGCCACAGGTGTCTCCTGAGAGGCGGCCGGAGCGAGGGCTGCGCATTTCTCCATGCTCCTCCACACTCTTCGCGATCCTCCGCGATCCTCCACGTTCCTACATGCTTCTCCACGATCCTCCGTGATCCTCCACGCTCTTTGCACTCCTCTGCAATCCTCCAAGCTCCTCCGTGATCCTCCGCGCTCCACCGTGATCTTCTGCGCTCCTTGCGCTCCTCCACGCTCCTCGTGCTCTTCCGCGCTGCTCCACACTCCTCCGCGCTCCTCGCCGTTAACATGATGATCTCCACCAGAGATGAGGGATGTTAAGTGCTTTTCTCAGCCTCGCTTCCCAAGCAGCCAGGCCCGGCCGCTGGCGCGCGGCTCCGCGCGAGCAGCGCCTGGCCGGGCCGGCATCCGAAGCCGGGATCACGCTCCGGGCTGGGATCACACCCAGGGCTGGCACGGGGCTCCCCCACAGTCTGGCTACAGCAGCAGGAGCCCCGTGCAAGGACCCTGGGACTCCTGGGTCCCAGGGAGCTCTGCACCAGCCCGCTATGGCCATGAATATTTTATTATTTGGTGGTTCGGAACCACTCTGCATAGTGTCGTGGCATAAATATTTGATAGCATTATGTAACCCTTGCTCCTTCCGAAGGACCCGCACTCAACGGCAGTAGCGTCCGAGGCTCCAAGAAGACTCGCTCCTATGGAAACTTCTCCTCCAGCAGCAGGAAATCCGGCCAAACAGCTGGCTCCCTACGGCACCGCGTGACACCTGCATCGCCCGTCTCTGCGGGGGAGCGCCGGGCGGCCGCAGCGTGGCTGCCGGGGGCGGGGCGGCCCCCAACGGGGGGC